TAAAATTGGCACATAAAAATATGTCTTTCTATTGCTCCAAGAAAAAATTATAATTCTCTTTTTTTTATACTTATTTTATTTTATTTTTATTTTTCATTTTTCTTTTATTGTTATTCCCTATTTACTAAAAATAACAAGTTTTGGAATGATAATAAATATGCAGAATGATAATATGCTAATAAATATGTAGAATGACTAAAAATAACTAAAAATTTGAAAATAACTAAAAATAACGAGTTTTGGAATGATAATAAATATGCAGAATGATTGATAATAAATATGCAGATTGATTTAAATCCTACTCAATACTCCCTCTCTCGTTGTGTCCTATCATGTTTGTCTTGGGTTTTTGGCTATATTTTTCCCTTTTTTTTTTTTAATACTACCCCGTTCATATCTTTCTCTTAACCTGTGTTCCTGATAACTTCTTCTTTAACCCCATCCCGGAAATGGCACACAATGTCCTACTAATCATGGCGGACTTCTTAATGCCTGTAAAACATCCTAGGAATTTACAGGTTAATCCATCGTTGTTATCAGGAAATTAAGAGCTTAACCATATACTAAGGGTAGTTCAAGACATAATAACATTTTTATAATACAAACATAATTTACATAGAAGATTATTTTTTGGGAAAAATACAGGAAAACATAGGAGACTTACATGATTTGGACGGAGAGAGGTTTCCCTTTCGGGAACCCCGACTGACCCTTACAAGCTAAAATGCACACTTTTATACAAACTTAATATTAAGAGAGAGAGAGTGTGTGTGTGTTTTTTTTATATTGAAATTTCTTAATTTCTTTTATATCAACAATTTGGTTAACTAGTAGAAAATAAAAGGAGGAATGAAGAATCTGTAACACCCCGACTTTTCAAAACGTCTAAATTAACTCGTATCTTCGTGGAAAGACAAGGAGGGTGAGTAATAAATTAAAAATGATGTGGTATGTCATATTTTAAGTGTTCAAGGGCTGTATCTCAAGTTTTAAAGTTAAGTAAGTGGCAAAATAAAAGTTGGCAAAAGTTATCGTAAGTTCCTTTTTAAAGATTTCTCTAAAATTTGTGTCAAATGTCTTGGATGTTTTCTCCCAATAAATAAAGAGTTAGAAG